CCTTCCCGAGCATGATGTCCCTATCTGAGGAACAGCCTGTCCTAACAACATGACCAGAGGATGGGGGAATGACGCTTCGCCACCCTTGCCTTCAAGGAGCACTCTGGCTGCACTATCTCCAATACTTATGTTTGTTCTTTTGGCCGTCCAGAGGACATTCCATACGCTTCCCCAACAAAATCAGTAATACAAAACCAAAAAGGGAGCCTCTGGCCCAAAGCAGAAGACAAGAAGAGCAGGAACGATGAGGAGTCTGTGAAAGACGTGAGAGTGTGCGTCGTGGGAAGGGGTCTGCAAGAATCGTCAGGAAACGAAACCTCCGCGGCCTGTTGACTGGAAAACAAATCTGCTCCACAAACTTTTACCCAAATGGCAATAAAAACTTCAGATCAGCATGCGATAAATCACAGCTCTTATTTTAATGTTGCCAACGAGAGTACATTCTAAAGTTTTCATTGGTCCGTGAGGGCAAGCTCCGTATTAAAGCTTGTCAGAGATGATTTGTCTTTTCTCAGCAGCAATGGTCCTAAGAAAAATAAATTGCAGTGTCATTTGATTTCCTCAGAAACTCATTCAGAGGTAATGATCGGGAAAGAATGAGGATGGGGGTTGGGAATACATTCTTATTTCCTATTTCTATTTCTTTCCTGTACAATTTTTTTTTGAGTGAACAGAGGAGAAAAAAGAACCTTTTTAAGTTACTAAAAATACCTGTGAGTTCTCTGTCACTCTGTGAATAATTGCCGGCTCTGTTTATTGCACAGCTTTTGTGTCCTTTCATGCCTTATTTCTTTTGTTTCATTCCATCCTCATCTGTTTGTTTTCATAAATATGTTGAATCTTTACCATCTCAGACACCTTTGTGTGTTTTTCCTTTCTTGTGAGCAGGTCTGAGCCACAGCGAGCGCATTCTCCATTGTCTGGGTTTACTAATTCTCTGGTCACGTCCGTGAGCCGAGAGAGAGAGAGAGAGAGAGAGAGAGAGAGGTGCGTCTCTGTGGATATTAAGGAAGGATCCAGGATTTAGCTAAAGCTTCCCTTTTTTAATCTTCACGACAGCCCCAAACGATAAATGAGAACTTGAAAACTTTCAGAACGTGGTGAAGGACACACAGCCAATATGCAGTGGTGTGTACATTACTCCAGGAGGACTCTGGTCAGTTTCTATGAGGGTTAGTTTTAGAGCTCTAAAGGTGAATGATAATCAAAATAATGCCACAGCCTCTTATAGCTCAATTCTAATGGTGATGAAAACCCAAAACCATGTGCCATCAAGTCAGTGATGATTGTGCCCTTCTGTGTCAAGATGTCAAAGGACGAGCTCATGGTGACCCCACGTGAGTCAGGAGGAAGCTATGCCCACCCACCCCAGCTCCAGGCAGTCAAACAGCTGATTTCCAAGATGTCAAAGGATGTCCGCATGGTGACCGCATTTGGGTCTGAGGTAAGCTGTGCTCCCTGGAGCTGTCAGCAGCTGATTTTCTTTCAGCTGTGTGTCACCGTGACTTTCTTCCTAGGCACCTCTGGGTAAACTTGGAATGTCAGTCTTCCCCTTAACTGCTGAGCTGGGCACTGAAAAGTAATAAACAATGGTATCTCCTGAGAAGTGATCGGTCTGATAAAACAGTCATCACTGTAAAGAAGTTAAGGAATTCCAGAAGGGCGGGAGGGAGGAGCTTTCAGGGCTTATCAAATGGTCCAGGGAGACCTTTTCGAGAAAATGAAACTTAGGAAGAGAATCTCTGGTGGTGAAAACAGAAAGTTTCCAAGGGGTCTCTGCTTTTAGTGCAAAGGCCCCCAAAGCAAGAGGGCTCAAGAGAGCAGGCGCAGATCATAGAGATCATGGTAGGCCATTAGCGAGATTTTAGATTCTACTCTGTGTTAGAAACGAATATCAATCAAGGATCGTGGGCAGGAAGTGCCATGATCTCATTAAAATTCTAGAAGAGTCTTTCTTGCAAATAAGAGATGGTTGGCAAGAGTTAGGGATTGAATGATACACCTTAAAAATATGTGCTGTAAATCCCAACCTGTACCAGCGATTAGAAGCTCATTTGGGAAATGGGTTTTGTTTGTTATACTAATGAGGTAAGATGTAAGCAGCAGTCATGATATCAAAGGATATACTGCATTGGTCAAAACTGTTGCTAAGGACCTCTTCAAAGTGTAAAAAGAGCAAGGATGTCAGTGTGAAGACTAAGGTGCACCTGACCTAAGCAAGTCACTTTCAACTGTTTCATACGGGTGTTAAGGTTGCACAGTGTCATTGACTGAAATTGCACAATGTGATTGACTGAAGAATTGATGCTGTTGAATTGGGATGTGATGGGTTGGCTAAAAGTACTGACTCTCTCCCGGATGGCTGAAAGAACAAACCAGCCTGCCTTAGAAGAAGTGTCGTTGCTGGAGTATTTCTCAGAAGCAGGGACGGATAGTAAGGGTTGATCTCACACGGTTTGGGTATGCTATCTGGAGGGCAGTCTCTGGAGAAGGACTTCATTCCTGGAAAGCAGAGAAAGAGAGAGCGAAGGAGAGAAAGGCCCTCAGCAAGATGGCCTGACATAGTGGCTGCAACAATACGCTTGGGCACAGCCGGGATTCGTGAGGATGGCATGGGATGGCATGACACTTTGTTCTTCTGTACGAGGGGCCCCTGTGAGCTGAAGCCAACTTGATGACATCCAACAACAAATGTCTCCTATCAATCACAAGGAGCAGGGACCTTCCTCCAGACCTGACAGAGCAAGAGAGAGACTTCTAAATTCTTATCTCTAGGCTCTTAGACTGACTGTGAGAAAATAGATGTTGGTTAAAGTCCTCCACTTGGGGTAATTGTTACAGCCACTCACCGATTGCTGTCAAATCAGAACCAACTCAGAGCTGACCCTCCAGCAGGTTCTCATCAGAGGAGACTGCCTCGCTTTCTCCCACAAAGTTGATGGTGGATTTGAACAGACAGAGGCGCCGCCTTTGGGTTGGCGATGCATCTCCCTGCTGACTACGCCACCAGCTGCACTCCCACTCTGGTACAGTAATAACTGAGGCAGTGAACAAGACATCAGGAGCCTCTTGAAGTCATCCACTGGAGAAGATGATGCGTGTCTAAGACAGTAAGAGGGAATGCGCTGAGAAATGGCTGCATTCCAAACATCGTTTGAGGATAAAGATGGAGAGCTGTTGGGTGATGGGATATGGTTTTTGTGAAGAGAGGGTTGGAGAGGGCCTAAGAATGACTTCTGGGTCCCGACCTGGACACAGTGGAGCTCTGTTTAACGCAACATGAAAGGTTCTAGGACACACAAGCGCTCATTGTTCAGCTCATGTCCACAAAGCCTGGGGTCCACTGGAGCACATCCTTTTGACCACAAAGTCCACATGGTCCCAGCATCTCATTCAAGGTCAGCTCCACATTGATCAAGAGCAAGACAGCTTCTCTATCCATTCGTTTGTTGATGGGCACTTGGGTTGTTTCCATCTCTTTGCTATTGTGAACAGAGCAACAATAAACATGGGTGTGCATATATGTGCTTGGGTGGCAGCTCTGGTTTCTTTAGGGTATACTGCCAGTGGTGGAATTGCTGGGTCAAATGGTGTTTGCAACTTTTTGAGAAAGCACCATACAGCCTTCCATAGTGGTTGCACCATTTCACATTCCCTCCAACAGTTAATAAGGGTTCCAGTTTTTCTACAACCTCACCAGCATTTGTTGTTTGCTGCTCTGTTGAACTTTGCTGTTTTTACTGGGTGAGATGGTTATCTCATACTTTTTTTTTATTACTTGCATCTCTTAGAGCTGGGGATTTTGAGCATTTCTTCATGTGTTTGTTCACCATCTGAATGTCTTCTTTGGTAAAGGATCTGTTCATATCCTGTGCCCATTTTGCAATTTGGTTGTTTACCTTCATCTTGTTCACTCAAGTATTCTATAAATTCTAGATATAAGTCCTTTATCAGGCATGTCATTATCAAATATTTTTCCCAGTCTGTGGTATATTCACACAATGAAATATTATGCAGCACTGAAAAACAAAGAACTCGTAAAACATCATACAAAATGGGTTGTTGTTGTTGTTGTTGTTGTTGTTATGTGCCATCTAGTCGCCTGCGACTCATAGCGACACTATGTGCAACAGCCCTAAACTCCACTCTGTCCTGTGCCAGTCGCACTGTCTCTGACACTCCCATCCCAATTATCCCAGTTACTGAATCAATCCACCTCATAGAGGGCCTTCCTCTCCTGCGCCGTCCCTCCACCCTCCCAAGCATGATGTCCCTCTCTAAGGACCGGTCTCTCCTCACAACATGTCCAAAGTATGTTAGACGGAGCCTCAGAATCCTTGCCTCCAAGGAGCCACCCAGTTTAACCCTTGCCAGGACAAATGGCCTAGTGGCAAGACGGTGCACTGCAATCCAGAGGTATGCGGTTCAAATCTACCAGATGCTCTGCTGGAGAAGGAAGGGGCAATCTCCTCCTGTACCAGTCAGATCTGATTTGATTTGACAGTACGGTACAAAATGGGTATGCTGATTAAATTATCTCAGACACAAAAAGACAAATAGTGCATAATGCGACTCTTACATAAAACAGGACTGACATGGGGGTTGGGAGGAAACTAAGAAAAGAGGGGATAAATAATGTACACAGCATTGAAACGGACGAGGGAGAGAACTGCATAAAAGGAATATATGATTAGGTATTATTGGCATGACAAGAGTCCAGGATAAAAGCTGCATAGTAAAGTGGTCTGGGGAAGGGGGTACTGTATAACAATGAAAGATTTTTTTTTTTTCCAAAGTAAAAAGTGAAGGGTTGTGGGGGAGGGGAGAGGGGGCAGGGAGGAAAATGTGAAACAATGAATGAATGGAAATCCACGTTCTTTGTAAATTTACAATAAAATCTCCAGTTAAAAAAAAAAAAGAGCAAGACAAACGAGTTTGTTGATTTCAAAATATCTGACCTCTTTATTGTTCTTGACCCTCAGGGATCTATTGAGGCCAAAATGAATCCCAAGGAAGAAAAAGTCAAGATCATCACTGAGGTAAGTTCTCTCTCTCTCTCTCTCTCCTTCCTCCCTCTCCTCTCTCTCTCTCCCTCTCTCCCCCTTTCTCCGTCTCTCCATCTCCTCTCTCTCCCTTCCCTCTCTCCCTCTCTCTCTCCCCCCTCATCTCTTTCTCCCCCTCCTCTCTCCCCCTCCCTCTCCTCCCTCTCTCCCTCTCCCCTCTTTCTCCCTTTTCTCTCTCGCGCTCTCTCTCTCTCTCCCACACAAGTGGTGACTGAGGAGATTAAGCTACCAACAAACATTTACTGCACATCTATGCATACCATTCACAGCCATCCATTCTGGCTCAGGGCCACCCTGTGTGACAGAGTTGTGACTGTTGTTTGTTGTTAGGTGCTGTTGAGTATGACTCACGACCCTCTGAACAACAGATCTGAACCCCGTCCTACCCTGTGCCAACCTCACAATCCCTGCCACACTCGAGCCCACTGATACAGTCATCAGAGAGTCAGCCTCTCTTTGGCTGACCTCCACCTTTCCAAGTCGGATGTGCCTTTCCAAGGAATAGCCCCTCTGAGCAGCATGCTCAAAGTATGTGAGACGAAGTTTATAGGAGAGAGGAGAACGCCCCCGTGGGCTTTCCGCAGCTGTGAAGCTGTGAGAGCTCAGGCCTCTTCTAACTCCCACAGAACAGCTGGCAGATACAGAGGACCTGGTCAGGATGAGGAGGACGGATGACACACGGACTCCAGGGTCTCTGCTCAACCTGGACACTTTAAACCTGCTCTGTCAGCATTCATAAATCTGGACAAAGCTGTTCTAAATCATCCTCTGTTCCAGAGCCTGGCTCGTCCTGAGACACACTGGTTTCAGTATCTCAGAAGGAAGGTGACAATTGTAGACTATAATGGCTAATGATTCTTGGGCCATTCTCTGTCCCATGGAATCCTAAAGTATCTCAAAGTGCTTTCCAGGCCAGAGAGAAGGGACCCAGGCTGTAGACCACCCCAAGAATCCCTCAGGAACCAGATCTCACCCTAGGCCACATTCAGATCTGCTTGAATCAGAGCCCACTTGAGGCAGAGGGAAAGTCCCTGAATTCACACTGAACCTCAGTGGTCAAAAGGCCAAGGTCAAAGTGATGGTTTTCATCGTCATAAAATCATGAAAAGCAGTCCTCTCTTTCCAGCTTAAGATCCTCTGCAAGTGTCAGCTTTGCACTTTAACAAAAGTAAGTCAAACTTTGCATTTGATCACAGGAGTTCCTGGACCATGAGGAGGATGGCCAGGCAGAAAGACCGAAGAAAAGCTCCAAGGTACAAAGACAAAGGAGGAAGAAGCAGGTAAGGAGGGTTGGGAAGTGGGCTCTGAGTCTGAACAGCCTTCCTGAACCCGCTGAGAACGCACACATCACCCCAGACACCAGCACAGGGTCCTGGACAGGGGCGCAGGGTGCAGGTGGCAGCCTGGGGTCTCGGGCCCTCGGTCAGGGGTGTCCAGGTTATTCTGGAGTGTTGTTGTTGCTGCTGTTGTTAGGTGCTGTCGAGGCGACCCTCTGAACAACAGCTATGAATCCTGTCCTGTCGTGTGCCGCCCTCACAGTCACCGACACACTCAAGCTCATTGCTGCAGTCACTATGTCAGCCCACCTAGTTGAGGGTCTCACTCTCCTTCTGTCATCCCTCCACCTTTCCAAGCAGGACATCCTTCCCCCAGGAATAGCCTCTCCTAGCAACATGCCCAAAGTACGAGATAGAGCCTGTCAGCATAACAGTGATAGAATCCTCCTGGATTTGAAAACGCTTTGAATTTTAAGATGTAGACTGGATACGCACTGTTACTGTAGTTAAATGCAGCTGAGGACAACTCAAAGCGACCCTGTGAACAACATCTTTAACCCCGTCCTCTCCTGTGCCATCCTCATCATCTCTGACACACCTGAGCCCACTGCTGTACCCACTGTGTCAGTCCACCTGGTTGAGGGTCTTCCTCTCTTACGCTGACCCTTCACTTTTCCAAGCATGCTGTCCCTCTCCAAGGAATAGCCTCTCCTAAACAATGTGTACAAAGCATGTGAAATGAACTTTATCATCTACGCCTCCAAGGAGCACTATGGCTGCACCTTCTCCTGGACACATTTGTTCTCTGGCCATCCATGGGAGGTCCGTGGGTGGTTGTAAATGCCTCATAAGCTCAGCTGTCAACTGAGAGGTAGAGATTCTGTCCACCGAGAGGGGCTCTTGAAGAAAGCCCGGTGATCTGTTTCCTCCGACAGCTCATCCACTGTAGAGCAGACTTCTGGACTCACCAGGGCACTGTGAGGGGGGTCTGCTGGGTGGGACTGGCTGGTTTAGGGGCTGCCACGCACATCAGGACGTGCGCTGGTGAATGACTGGAGGGCCTTCATGGCTTTGCATTGAAGTGAGACTGGCAGCAGATGGCGGTGCAGGACTGCACATCTTGGGGACTCCTCTTTCTCCATCTCTGAGCCCCAATTCCTGCTTCCCGCCAGAGGCACTTCCTCCCACCTCTCCACTGTCGCCTCTTGGGCTGGTTGCCTTCTGTGCCAGGTAAACCTGAGGGGTGAACGCCTGGGCCTTGGGCTCTGGCTGGAGGGAGGGGGTGTGGAAGGCTGGGGCGGGGGCCATGTGCTAGGAGTAATCCTGATCCTAGAGGGAGGGGATACGGATGGGAGGGCACGCCATCTTGAGCTAGCAGACACGTGATAGGGTGTGAGAGTGGGATACCAGGAGGTGGGGACGGGACAGGGAAGAGAACTCCCTCCAAGTGTCCCCCACGCTCTGCACACGCCTTTCTGGGGGATGCTGAACATAGGTGTCACCAGCTCTTTCCTTCCCTGCAGGCTGAGTGACCAGGTCAGGTCACGGCAGGGACAGGGACATGCCGCCCACTCCCCAGCAGGGGCACTCACTGGCCTTCAAGTGATTCCAACCACTTCCTGCAGAGTGTGTCCTAGACTCTGCAGACCAGGACCCAAGGCAAGGGGGAGATCCCTAAGTGCTGCCCTGACCTGGTAAATGCCCGCTGTGCACAGTCCAAGGTTCAGAGGCTTGGGAGGGGGAGCAGGGGTGGAGCTGGGATGGGGAAGGTCAGGGGGTGCCCCAATTCCTGAGCATTCGAGTGGGATGTGCTCTTCACTGATGTTCTCTCATTAACCGTCCACAAAACTCACACACAGCCGAGTGTAACTGTTCCAGGCTTAGCTAGACTGTAAGGAGCTTGGGTGGCCTCGTGCATTGTGTCGCACTGTTAATGGAAAGGTCAGAGATTTGAATCCACCAGCTGCTCCATAGGAAACAGAGGGGCCTCTTGTAATGATTTCAACATTGGAAACCACCAGAGGGTAATGGTGTTGCTCTTTTGAGTTTAGTAAGAATGTAGACTCATCGGTACTTTAAAAAACATAAATAAATTATAAGATGCCCAATCTCTCCCTACACTTTTTACCATATTTCTTGCATTTAATGCACCCACAGAAATAATATACAAATATTTGCATAAAATAAGGTTAATCCCAATCTCTCTAGGCCTTGCGTGATGTCTGATAGATGTTGTCGTGTGCTGTTGAGTCAGAACCGACCCATAACTGACCCTTCAGTGAGTTTTCAGAAGCAGTAAATCGCCTGGGAGGAGATTGCCCTTTCTTCTCCCAAGGAGCACCTGGTGGATTCAAACCCTATACCTTTGGAATTGCAGCACAGCTTCTTACCCCTAGGGCACTAGAGCTCCTTCCCAATAAATTAGTTCTCTGCATCTCCCATCTTTTAGACTCTGCGATCCAAAGAATTTCAATAACTTGCTCTCAGTCCCACAGTAAATCTGAATTTAATGGCAAGTTTTAGTCTGTCTGTTCCCTAGTCCATCTGCCCCTTAGCTTCTCTGTTCCCTAGTATGTCTGTCCCCTAGCCTGCCTGCCCCTAGGTCTGTCTGACCCTAGTTCTGTCTGTCCCCTAGCCTGTTTGCCCCCAGGTCTGTCTGTCCCCTAGCCTGTCCTCTGGTCTTTCTGCCGCTAAAAGCAGCCAGAGCTCAGTCTTGGCCTCCACTGTCAATATCCTTGTGATTTATTGCCTCTGAAACCTGCTAACAACGTCTCACACCACAGAAGAGCTGCCACGTGGCAGGTTCCAGCTTCCGGACGGTGACTTGCCTGCCCCAGTGGAACTGGACTCCACATAGCTTTGGAAGGCTGGGTCTTCTCAGTAGGTTACCAGGCCTTTCTTCTGGGGCACCTTTGGGTACAAATGACCATCCAACATTTTGCCGAGCAGTCAAGTATACTAACAGTTCCTTGAACGACCCAGAGACTTTCCCTTCAAAGTAGATTGGTTTCTCTTTGCGAGTCTGGAGCTAGAGTGAAGGAACTAGAAATTATTCCTGGAGGCACCAAGGGGTGGGATCAAATCACATCCTGGATTAAATAACCAGTGAAACTTTCTCAAGTGTTCACAGACTATTTGGAATTAGAGACAAATTGCTTCCTTATAGATAGGACATGTGTTATTCCCCTGAGAGATATGTAGAACACTGTGGCTTCTACATATTGTGAGGTGTCATTGAGCTGACACGGAGCTGACCCTCAAGCGAGTCTTCAGAAGCAGTAAATTGCACAGGAGGGATGCCCCTCCTTCTCTCTTAGTACAGCTGATGAATTCAAACCACATGCCTTTGGGTTGGCAGTGCAATTCCTGTTTGTTGTTGGTGTAGTTGTTGTTGATGTTAAGTGCCATCGAGTCGTAGGTGACTCATAGCGACCCTATGAATGAAAGACTTGGATGCTTGTATAACTTTCATCCTTTCTCCAGGTTCATAGGGTTTCCAGAAGCTGGCCATTTCGGGAGTGGATGCCACTCCTGCTTCCAAGCTTGTTTAATTGGGGAGTTCTACCAAACACTGTCCACCATGGGTAACCATTATTACATCTGATACTTCAGTGTCACAGTGTTCAGCTTCACAGCAACCACGAGTTACCTGACCTAGAATTGACCAAAAATAAGTAAAATCAGGCCTGAGGGTCATGGATTAGAGTCACTCACCTTTGGCTTGGTAGCAACACTTTCTCTCCACTGTGCCAACTGATCTCTCCATGCTGTTGTTGTTAAGTGCTATCGAGTCATAGGCGACTCATAGCAACCCTGTGAACAAAAGACTTGGACACTTGTATAACTTTCATCTTTTCTCCAGGTTCAATGCCTTTCTTTCATGAAGGGACATCTCCTGTGAGATTTACAGCCTCTGGAACACAATAGAAAGTCAGTTTCGACCCAACCCACTGAGCTTGACTTTGAGGTGTTTGATTTCATGAGGGACACGGGCTTGGCATCACTTCCCTGTGTTCATGTCACACAGTGGCTCAGGCAGTGGGGACCGTGATGGGCACGCAGACCTGGGCACTGAGGCTCCTTGCCAGGTGACCCCGCTCACCCGCAGGCAGGAAGCAGTGAACTGAAGCACCCGGGTCGCTGAGTCTCTAACACTGTGCCCACAGCCGCGGCCGACTGCTGTTCCCGAGGAGATGGTGTCGGGAAAACCCCTGGATGACAGCCCACAGGAACTGGAGCAGGAAGAGCCCGAGACTGGCCTCCTGACCGTGACAGGCCGGCGAGGCCCCCGAAGTAAGTGCCCCTCTGTCAGGCCAGTCAGGATTTACTAACTTGATTCTGAGCTAAGTGTACATTGTGTCAGCCTGCTAAATGAGAGATCCTCTCACCAGTGGTTCAAATCCACTAGCCCGCCAATCTTCAGGAGACAGACAGTCTGTCCCCTCCTGTAATGATTCACAGCATCTGAAACCTCAAGGACGGTCACCAAGGGTTGAACTTGACTCTACAGCAGCGGGTTTGTATTTCTTTTACTCTGAGCTCTTCACAAAGGAATATGAAGAATTTTTTTTAATGGGGATATTTTTTGCCCCTTAAATGGCCATCACCCTGCATGACACTTTATCCTAAATCTTCTAGAAGACAGGACATATGACTTTAGAGAAAGCTTACGTAATCAGTTAGTAGTTGTTGTTATCGTTATTGTTGTTGTTAGGTGCTGTTGAGTGGAGTACAACTCCCAGTAACCCCATGAACAGCCGGCCTGAATCCTGCCCTCCCTTGTGCCAAGCTCACCATCTTTGTACTGAAGTCTCCATGTCAATCCATCTCACTGGGGTCTTCCTTTCCTTCGCTGACCCCCTATCTTTCTTTCCAAGCATGATGCGTCTTTCCAAGGAATAGCCTCTTCTCGTAACATGTCCAAAGTATGAGAGATGAAGCTTTGCCATCTTTGCAGGCAATGATCACTTTTTCCAAGTCATATCTGCTTGTTCTCTTGGCTGTCCATGGGATGTTCAGCACCCTTTTCCGACACCACAGCTCAAAAGCATCAATTCTTCTGTTAAGTCTTTTTTTATTTAACCTTTTTTATATTTTAATGAAAATTTTTAGAAAACTTGGATTTCCACTCATTTATTGTTGCACATTTTTCTCCCTGCCTCCCCCAGTTTGCTTTGACCCAGCTCTCTGATAGACAACAGGTGAGAAGACCAGGGCCTGAACCAGGAGCAAACAGCCTAGTTTTCAAACTGAAATCATTGCTCTCCAGAATTTTGTTGTTTTTAGATGCCATCAATCAAATCAGTCCGAACTCACAACCACCACCTCTATGTTGTTGTGGTTGTTGTTGTTATGTATCATTGAGTTGCCATGACTCATCACGACCCTATGTACAGCAGCTCTGCTGAAGCCTGCCCTCTCTCGAGCCAATCTCACTGATTCCAACACACCTTCTCCCATTGCCCCAGTTACTCTATCAATCCATCTCATCCTGGGTCTTCCTCTCCTGCGCTGTCCCTCCACCCTTCAAAGCATGATGTTCTTCTCCAAGGACACATTACTCCTGGCCACATGCCCAAAATACGTAAGATGAAGCTTCAAAACCTAGCCTCTAAGGATAAACTTGGTTTCACTCTTTCCAAGACAGACCTATTTGTTCTCTTGACAGTCCATGATATGTTCAATACTGTTTTTTAGCACCACACCTCAAAGGCATCAATTCTTCTTCTGCCATCCTTTGTCATTGTCCAGCTCTCTGATGAATAGCAAGTAATTGCGAAGACCAAGGACTGGATCAGGTGCACCTTAATCTCTAGACTGGCATGATTGCCCCTCAGCACTTCGAAGAGGTCCCTGACAGCAGATTTCCCTGGAGCAATTAATTTACTGTTTTCCTGCCAGTGCCAACAGTGTTGATTGTGGAGTCAAGCAAGCTGAAGCTGTTAACAACCTCAATCTCGTCTCCATCTATCATGATGCTGCCAAGTGGCCCAGTTGTGAGAATCTTTGTCTTCTTTATGTTAAGCTTCAATCCATATTGACAACTACAGATCTTTACCTTCCATAGCAAAGGCTTCAGGTCCTCCTCAGTTTCAGCAAGCAAGGTTGTATCCTCTGCATAACATAGGTTGTTGATGAGTCTTCCTCCAATCCTGATGCCACATCCCTTCTCATAAAGTCTAGCCTCCCAAATGATCTGTTCTGCACACAGATTGAAAAGGTATGGAGACAGAACACATCTCTGACACACTCCCTTCCTGATTTTGAACCATGCAGTGTTTTCTTGCTGTGTTCTGACAACTGCCTCCTGGACCAAATATATCATAAACACAATCAAGTTTGTGTTCTGAGTTTCCCATTTTTCTCAAGGTTAGCTACAATTTGTTGTGATCCACACAGTCAAATGCCTTGGCATAGTCAATGAAATACAGATAGACATTCCTCTGGTACTCTCTGCTTTCAGCCAAGACCCATCTGACATTGATGATCATGTCTCTAGTGCAATAGCTCTTCTAAACTCAGCTTGTATTTCTGGTAGTTCTCTGTCAATGTACTGTTCTTCTAGTCTATGTTAAGCAGAACGACCCTAAGCAATCTTCAGAACGCTGTGCCGTCCTCAGAATCTCTGCTCCACTTACATGCATGGTTGCAGTCACAGTGTCAGTCTGTCTCTTTGAGAGTCTTCCTCCCATTGGCTGACTCTGCTTTTCCCAGCACGATATCCTTTCCCAGACACTGACCCCTCCAGATACCAAACCCAAAGTGTATGAGAGGAAGTCTCGCCATCCTTGCTTCGAAGGAGCACCCTGGCTGCACTTCATCAAGGACAGATCTGTTTATTCTTTTGCCTCTGTTAAGTCAATTCATGGTGCTGGCATGCACAGCAGAACAAATCACTGGCTGCTCCAGTCCGTCTTTACAAGCGTCGGACCTTTCCAGTGCACTGCCTCAATCAGCGTGCGTCCTGAGCGCCATCCTCCCTGGAATGCTCGTCTCCCAGCCCACATGGAACAACACCGTGTCCTGATCCCAACAGTTCCACTGGCTGGATTTCAAGGTACAGCCAGCCCCCAACTTGTGACAACTCCGTTGTCAGTCAGTCTGCCATAAGTCAGATACCTAGTTTCTTTTTTTTTTATTAATTATAATGAGAATTTACAGAGACTTTGGATTTCCATTCATTCATTCATTCATTGTTGCACTTTTCTCCCTGCCCAAACCTCTCCCCACCACGTGCCTCCCCCCACCCCCACCCCTAGTATACTCTTCTCTTTGAAAAGTAAAATTCTTTCATTGTTTTACAATCTCTCCCCCCAGGTCCACTCCACTATGCAGCCTTCATTCTGGATTCCTGTCATGACAATAATACCTAATCACATATACCTTTTTAAACAATTTTCTCCCTCATCTGTTCCAATGCGGTATACACTGTTTATCCCATTTCTCTCAGTCTCCCCCACCCCCAATCCCGATGTCAGACCTGTTTTACAACAGCGGCACCATGCAGTATTTGTACCTTTGTGACTGAGACATTTCACTCGGCATAATGTCCTCCAGGGTCACCCATTTTGAATATATTTTGAGTTCTTTGTGTTTTTCAATGCAGTGTAGTATTCCATTGTGTGAATATACCACAGCTTCTCTATCCATTCTTTTGTTGATGGGCACTTAGGTTGTTTCCAACTCCTTGCTATTGTGAATAAAGCTGCAATAAACATGGGTGTGCATACCTACTTTCTTTTTTAAAAAAAAATTTCACAGCCTGCTAAATGGAAGTATTGTGAACAGGAAATAACAGCATTGGCAACATTAAATATATAGGACATAGTACATGTGAATGAAGATCAGTAAGGAATACTAAAGCAGAATTGAAACTTCTGAGTTATGGTGTTGGTGAAGGATGTTGAATGTATGACAATCTGCTGGAATAACAAATAAATCTATACTAGAAGTAAAGGGGGCTTCGGTGCCTCAGTAGTAAGGAATCGTGCTGCCAGGGCAGAAGTACACAGTTTGAATCCACCAGCTGCTCTGTGGGGTAAAGATGGGCAGTCTCCTCCTGTGCCATTCACAGGCTCTGGAAACCCGCTGGAGGGTCAGCTGAGGGTCAGTCCTGAGTCGATGTCTCAGCAGCAAGAGCAGAAGTACACTCAGAAGTGAGGATGCGAGATTTTCTCTCATGTACTTTGGACATGCTGCAAATCCCCAGAAAAGCCAGCATGCTTAGCAAGACAGACGGCAGACCAAGAAGAGGGAGGCTTTTAACAAGGTGGACAGGTACAATGTGACAGCCACAATGTGCTCAAACATAGCGAGGACAGTAAGGACAGTGTATGGCTGGCCGGTGTTCCACTGTTCACACAGTCACACTGCTGGATAGCACTGTCACATACCAACAACTGTCACGTTGGCATCAACCCATAGCTGACCCTCCAGCAGGTTTTCAGAGACAGTTTAATCACACAGGACAAGACTGCTCATATTTTTCTCCTGTGGAGAAGCTCGTAGATTTGAACCACTTGCCTTTGGGATTGCAGCTCAGCTCCTAACCATAGGCCACCAAAGCACTAAAAGTCAGAACTGACTCGAGAGCCAAGAAGAACAACCCAACGTACATTTAGAAAACAAAAAAAAGATACTCACTAATGTGGTTCATCACACTTTAAAAGTGCCATGAATTAGGGAGTGCCTGCAACTGGAAAGGCCTTTCTTTCTTCCTCGTCTGGAAGCTTCACTGAACCCATCCACCAGCGGGGAGGCTGCTGGTACTGAAACACTGGTAGTAGTATCTTCCAACATCCCAGCAACATGCGAGCTTCCACACCATGAGCTGACAGTTAAGTTGTTGTTGACCCCTGCCACCCCCGCCCAGTGTGTTTTCAGAGGCAGTAAAAGGCACCAGAGGAGGTGAGGCTCCTCATCTTTCTCATTCAGAGCAGTGGGTGGATTTGAACCAGGGATGTGCCTTTGGGGTGGCACACCTCCTTACCACTACTCCACCAGAGATCTCTTGACAGAGGAGTCGTGGAGACATATTAGTTAAGAAGTACTGGAGCACTATGGTGCATATGAGTATACATACGGTGCAAATAGGAAGATGCAGAGATTCAAAGGGCGATGAAAAAAGGCGGGGAAGAAGTAAGTGAAGCGGGACTGGAATTGGATGGAAGAAAAAATGAGGACAATTTCTGAGACTCTTGGAGACTTTGAACCTTGAAAACTGGTGATCCTTCCACACTTAACACCCCCTACTAACCCCTAGCATTGCCTCCCCCTTCAAAAAACCTCGCTCT